AAGAGTTACTAAATTTTCAGATTACAATTTCGTCTGATGGTGTCTGGTCAACGGTGGTCGGTGATGATCGATGGTGGATGACGGTCGGCGATGATCGACGGTAGTTAATGGTGGACTGCGGTGGTAGGAGGAGGTCGGGGGTGATCGCCGATAATCGGTGGCGGTCAACGGACGTCAGCGGTGGTCGACGACAGTCGATGACGGTTGGCGGTGGTCGACGAGGTCAGCGGTGATCAACGGTAATCGACGGTGGCTGGCTCAAAGCCTCAAGTTCTCTCTCAAGCCTCTCCTCCCCTCATGTGAAGGGTAGAGCTCTATTTATAGTGTTTTGTGAGCAATTAATGCAGGAATATGAACCATTTTGATCGGACGGTCCGGAGAGCTTCCCTCGATCAGATGATGTTTAATGAAAATTTGAGTGTCTTAACGATGGTGTCTTAACGATGTCAGAATTGACCAATCTTAGGCTCATTGGATTCGTCTTATCGAGATGCTCGATTCGACTATGAACTCGCTAGATTCGACATCTGTTTGACCTTTCAAATGCCTCCGGAATTCCTCTAAGAGCAGTTTAATGATTTATAGTTGAATGATTTGATCCGGCCTCGATTTAACTTGGATTAGACTGACTTTCATATCATTAGGTTCATCTCATCATCATCAAGCCAATCAGTTTGACTATAAGTTTGTTGAAATCAAAGCTTTTGACCAGTTTGACTATAAGTTTGCTGAAATCAAAGCTTTTGATGACTCTTAATCGAAATTTGAATGTTTCTTGTTCAAAAAATTGCCCTGAGATTCGTGTCGGATGATGAAAATTTGTTGGTGGCATAGTAGTATTCAAAATAATCTGTATTTGAAATTATATATACCAAAATGTGCTTTCAAAGCATTGACCGGAAAATTCCTTAGAAATCTCCTAGCACCCAAAGGAAAAAAAGTCAACCTTGAGAAGGAAAAAGAGCTCTTAAATGTACCTTATTCTTGAAATGATAAAGAAGTGCAAAAGCTAGCCGACCAAATAGCAACCCTTAGATGGTTCATCTCAAAGTTAGGCAATAAATGTGCAACATTCTTCAAAACACTGAAGAAAGCTTAAAACTTTGAAAAGTAAACCTAGTGTGAGAAAGAATTCTTAAGCCTGAAACAATCGCTAGCCTCACCACCGCTTTTAAAAAGACCAAAACCAAAGCAAGACTCTCTCTATAACTGGTTAACTGGTTGTTGGACTAAAGCCATCAGCTTGGCCTTGATCTAAGAGAAACACGAGGGAAATTGGTTCGGAAACTCGATCAAACCTTAACAAACCCATTCATTATTGATTAAAAAGCCAGCTTAGGAGCCTAGAAGCTCGAAAGATAAACTAGGAAAAAGGTTCTCCAAACATGGAGCATAGATGATATCAAAAAACTTTTTCCTTAAGACTAATTACAATACACCTGCATAAAAAAATATAAAGGAGTATATTATTTTTAACACTCGTGATTTTTTGTTCAAATAGAATGTTATTAGAAATATTAGGTAATCATGCAATTGTATCCCAAGTGTAAATAACACTCGAGAAACTCAGAAGGTTGATGCACCTAGCATTGAGTGACACTCACGGAGCTAAAATTTCTTAAAAATCCAACCAACCGAGTTGTCAAGAGGCCCAGTCACAAAGCTCCTCGAACTTGAATTTTCAAGCTATAAGTAAACCAATTTTTAATGGTTATCTGTCTAGTAGCAAAAAAGCTTTGTGATAGCTTTTGAGAAAATCATCCTAGAAAAGTATCAATGACTACCCCCTATGAGGAGTAGTACGATCAAAAGAAAATTTGGGTCTAGTTAAACAACAAAAAATTAGTTCTTCCTAAGTTAAGAATTGATACCCTAAAAGAAACCAATGTGATGCATGCCGCCCGAGCGGTTAACAATATTTTAAACAATTTATTGCAACATCTTGATGTTGGATCAACATTCACAAATTAAAAATTGAACTTCAATGCTCAAATGATGAAAAATAAGACTTGAATAAGATGACAAGTATTTAAAATCAACTAAAAATTTGTGAACAAAGAAACATCATAATTTAGTAAATAAAATATAATGGATAAAAGCGACTAAAGGCAATATTTTATCATATAATCATCCGATTACATATTTATCAGAACAAAAAACCTTTCATGAGCATTTGTTTTATTATATATAAAAACTAAGAGGAGCCTTAAGTCTACAAATCACCATGTCAAGTGTTGGATGATCCCTCATTCACCATGTTGACACCCTCTAACTCATCTTGGTGTTCTGAAGCTGAGGGAACATAGAAAAGTTTCATGAACTCACCAAGTTTTTAATGCTTGGGATTGACCATCCAAACTATGTTAAATTGGTCAATTGAAGCCTTACTCCCCTCCTCCAAAGTCTCAAGAAACTCTTTGACCATCTTCATTATAGCCATCTTCTTTGATAGTTACAATTTTCTCTTGAATGGTAGAGAGCTACTCTGACGCTATCTCTAGCTTTGTTTCAACACTCTTTAGATGAGCCTCTACCACAGTCCCCAATTTTTTTATCATTGTAGCTCATGTCTTAAACTCTTTAGCATTTGCCTTGGCCTTCAAGCCCTATCCTTCATGTCCATATAAAGAGAGAGCAGGTGTTGGGAAGCCTTAGCAACTGATATCATTTGACCATACGATATAGATCCACAGACCAGAGGTTATCCAAAAATTCCTCAAGGCTAGTTGACCAAAGAACATTTGCAATGGTGCATGCATATTTGGTCATCCCTAGGATAAGAAGAAACCAACTCTTTTTGACTTTTCTTAGTGCAAAATGAGAGTTCAAATTAAGAAATACCTTCAATTGTTTCTCCTGCAATGTAGTCTAATAATACATTCCCGCCTTGTATTTTTTTTCGTGGTGCAGAGGGGAGAGAAGTATCAAAATCTGGTGTAGAGGCCTTGCACTTTTTCTGATATTATTTTTTGGCCTCTTTAGTCGGCTCAAGATCCTCTTAATCATACTTTCCTCAAGGCTTTCTGCTTTCACCTACTCGGTCGGTACAGATGGTGACCATGGAGAAGGCCAACCGGCCTCCCCAATTCAATAAGAGGAAGGAAACCCAAGGAAGATGGTTGTGAATCTTCCCGAGTTGATGGATTCTTGGAGGACTCAGAATTGGATCAGAGGATGCTTCACATGGACTCCTCTTGACAGCGATCCTCTTGTCCTCCGCTTCCTCGACCTCTTCACTTCTATCTTAGCTCTTTCTTCAACAGCCACATAGCTTTTTAAAACTACATTTTCTCCTCCACCTTGTTTGATAAAAGGTTGGAAAATATATAAAATAGTGGTAGAGAAATATTACAATTCTTCAAAAAATGTGAGGCTCGTGCCACTGTGATTTATGTAGTATGGCGGTTTGTGGTTTTATTAGAATTTTCTTTACACGATAGTTGTCAATGAAAAAAAATGTTCCCCTTATGCCTATGCTTAAGTCAAAAGAATAATAGATTTCATGAAGTTAAGCCTTCCTTAAACCCCATGAAATTTTACAGATTGTTTCGATCATGTTTCTA